GAGTAGCTAAAGCAAAAGGAAGAAATGATGAAGTAAAAGAGCTGAGCAAAGATTTCAAAGGGCAGATCAAGAAGACAAAGTAAAGTATTATAATGACACGTGCAAAGACCTGGAGTTAGAAAACCAAAAGGGAAGAACATGCTTGGCATTTCTCAAGCTGAAAGAACTGAAGAAAAAATTCAAGCCTTGAGTTGCAATATTGAAGGATTTTAGGGGCAAAATATTGATTGACACAGGAAGCATCAAAAGAAGATGGAAAGAATATACAGAGTCACTGTACCAAAAAGAATTGGTCAGTGTTCAACCATTTCAGGAGGTAGCATATGATCAAGAACCAACTGTACTGAAGAAAGAAGTCCAAGCTGCACTGAAGACACTGGCAAAAAACAAGCCTCCAGGAATTGACGGAATGCCAGTTGAGATATTTCAATAAATGGATGCAGCGCTGGAGGTGCTCACTCATCTATGCCAAGACTTTGGAAGAAAATGAGGATGTCACTTTGAGGACTGAAGTGTGCCTGAACCAAACGGTGGTATTTTCAGTCGCCTTGTATGCATGCTGTCATGGATTGAATTGTGTCCCCCAAAAATATCTGTCAACTTGTCTGGGTCGTGATTCCCAGTTTGCATGATTGTGTACCATTTTGTAATCTGATGTGATTTCCTTATGTGTTGTAAACTCTATCACTATGATGTAATAAGATGGATTAACAGCAGTTATACTGATGTGGTCTACAAGATTAGATAGTATCTTAAGCCAATCTTTTGGGATATAAAAGAGAGAAGCAAGCAGAGACACATGGGAACCTCATACCACCAAGAAAGCAGTGCCGAGAGCAGAGCACATCCTTTGGACCTGAGGTTTCTGCACAGAGAAGCTCCAAACCAAGGGAAGATAGATGACACGGATGTTCCTCCAGAGCAGACGGGAAAAGCGTCCCCCTGGAGCTGACGCCCTGAATTTGGACTTGTAGCCTACTGCAATGTGAGAGAATAAACTTCTCTTTATTAAAGCCACCCACTTGTGGTATTTCTGTTCTAGCAGCACTAGATGACTAAGACACATGTGAAAGCTGGACAATGGATAAGGAAGACCAGAGAAGAATTGATGCCTTTGAATTGTGTTGGTGAAGAATATTGAATATACCATGGATTACCAGAAGATCAAACAAATCTGTTTTGGAAGAAATACAGACAGAGTGCGCCTTGAAAGCAAGGATGGTGAGAGTTCATCTCACATACTTTGGACATGTTATCAGGAGGGACCAGTTGCTGGAGAAGGACATCATGCTTGGTAAGGTAGACTGTCAATGAAAAAGAGGAAGACACTCAATGAGATGGATTGACACAGTGGCTGCAATAGTGAGCTCAAACATAGCAACGATTGTGAGGATGGTGTAGGACCAGGCAATGTTTTGTTCTGTTATACATGGGGTCTCTATGGGTTGGAACCTACTGGACAGCGCCTAAAAACAACAATAAAATAGCTTGAATTAATTAGGAAAACAGCAAGGAATCATTTGTCTTCTTTATTTGTTGACCACGAGGACAGGAATTTTTGTCTGATTTGTTCATGAATTTATTCCTAGCACAAACAACAGTGCCTGGCACAGAAATATTTGTTGAATCAATAAATTAATAAAAGTTAATGAGACACACAATTCAATAATAAGAAAATAAAAAAAGCCGGTAAAAAATGGGCAAAAGATTTGAACAGACATGTCACCAAAAAATATATAAGAATAGCAAATAAGCACATGAAAAGAGGGTCAATATCATTAGTCATTAGAAAAATGCAAATTAAAAACACGAGATACCACCATACAGTTATTAAAATCTGTTGCCATGGAATTGATTTCTACCCATGGTGAACCCATGTGTTACAGAGCAGAACTGAGCTCCATAGGGTTATTAAAACACCCATTGTTGTCAAGTTGATCCCAACTTGTAGAGACCCTGTAGGACAGAGTAGAACTGCCCCATGGGATTTCAAGGCTGTAATCCTTACGGAAGCAGACTACCACATCTTTCGTCCAGTGAGCAGCTGGTGGGTTTGAACCACCAACCTTTTGGTTAGCAAATGAGTGCTTAACCACTGCACCACCAGGGCTCCTCATAAGGTTATTAGGATGACTAAAATGAAAATAGCTGAAACTACCAAGTGCTGATAAGAATGCGAGGCAACTGGGATTCTAATATGTTGCTGGTGGGAATGCAAAATGGTACAGTCACTTTGGAAATCAGTTTTGCATTTTCTTATAAAGTTAAATATACACTGTCTTAACAACTCAGCAGTCCCACTCTGAGAAATTTACACAATAAAAAATGAAAACATATGTCTGCACATGCACACAAAAACTTGCAAAAGCATGGTTGTGGAGGCTTTGTTCATAATTTTTAAAAACTGGAAATAACTCAAATGATCACTTACTGGCGAAAGAATAGAAAAATGGCTAAATAAACTATAGTTCATCCATACAATGGAATATTACTCAGCAATAAAAGGAAACAAACTACTGATAAAAGCAATAACATGGATGTATCTCAAATGCATTATGGTAAGTGAAAGAAGCCAGATTCAAAAGACTACCTACTATATGATTCCATTTATGTGACATTTTGGAAAGGCAAAACTATGAGGACAGAAATCAGATAAACACAAATTAACTGTTTGTCAAGGGCCGGGGTTGGGAGAGAGGACTGACTACAAAGAGGCATGGGTGAACTTTTCTGAATGATATAAATGTTGTATATCTTGATTATGATAGTGATTACCCAACTGTATTCATTTGTCAAAATTCATAGAACTGTACACCAGCAATGAGGGAATTTTACTGTATATAAATTATACCTTAATAAACCTAACTCAAAACCAACCAAACAAAAAGTTAATGAGGCTCTTCTCTATTAGTACTTGAACAAGCAAATTGTTAGCTTGCTACTTTGAGAGTCAGGACTGAACCCATGCTTTAAAAAGGGTCCCAGGAAGTAAATGAGACTGACCTTCGTACTTATTATTCCCACTGCTCTTTTTGTTTAGGTACTTGCCCTAGTGCACTGGTTGGTAATAACTTCAAAATTCTTAATCTCTTTAAAAACTGTAATAAAAAGATAGAGAGACAATGTTGCAGACTTCTAAGTTTCTTGTGGCAAGATCTTTGTCTTTTGTGTATTATAATCTTTAGCAAGATCAGGCAGTGTTTCGTTCTGTTGTATATAGGGTCGGAACCAATTCGACGGCACCTAATAACAGCAATCTTTAATGTTGGGTCTACAATCAATGCTGATGGAAGCAGCAATCAAGAAATCAAATGATATTGATCTGCTGCAAAAGACCTCTTTCAAGTATTAGAAAGCAAAGATGTCACTTTTAGGACTAAGGTGTGCCTGACCCAAACCATGGTGTTTTCAGTTACTTCATACGCGTGGACAATGAATAAGGAAGACTGAAGAAGGATTGATGCCTTTGAATTATGATGATGTTGGCAAAGAATACTGAATATACCATGGACTTTAGAAGAACAAACAAATCTGTCTTGGAAGAAGTACAGCTAGAATGCTTCTTAGAAGCAAGGATGGCAAGACTTCTTTTCACGTACTTTGACATGTTATCAGGAGGGACCAGTCCCTGGAGAAAGGGCATCATGCTTGGTAAAGTAGAGGGTCATCGAAAGACAGGAAGATCCTGGACAAGATGGATCGACACAATGGCCGCAACGATGGGCTCAAACGTAGCAATGACTGTGAGGATGGTGCAGGATCGGGCAGTGTTTTGTTCTGTTGTACATAGGGTCTATGAGTCAGAACTGACTTGATGGCAGCTAACAACAATATAATCTTTAGCAAAAACCATATTAAGTGATATCTGCTGTTTAACACTGTGTAAGACATTAAGCTCAGTACCCTCAGGTGGGGATAATATTTGCAGCACATGCCTTGTTTGCTACTTCCTGAAGTTGCCATGAGAATGAGAAGAGGCCATGTTTACGAAATCACTGCATAAACTAGAAAGTGCTAGACAAATGGTGGTTTCATTGCCACATATAAACAAACCTTGATATAACAGACAATCAAATTTGGATTTCAGGTATAGGAGAACAACCTGCATACACAGGTGTATGGGTGAGACATGTGGGAAGGATTTACTTGACTTGCATTTAGGTTTGGCCCATTGCCTTCTAGCCCAATGGAGAGAATCTCTGGTATTCAGGAGCTTTGCGCATAGCACTGATGAATGACTGAAATGAAATTTGACTGATTGGAGTGTGGGAGATGACTCAGTAGGACTGCTTTAGGCAGAAAATTGGACTTAGAGGCTCTGAAAGAGGAAATCTTCAACAGTCTTTTTTCTATTTGTACAATCTATTTTATGGGGTGAGGTTTCTTGTTCTAAATCTAGGTGATCATTGTAGCAAATGTGCTGTATCATCCATACCAAACCCCTTCTTCTGATACCATCTTTCAGTGTTTTTGCTACCCCACTTCTCCATGCATTTTTGTTCCATGGAGCAGCCAGATTTTTCCTCCATGAATAGTGTCATGAGCCCACTGATACCAGGGATAAAATTTTAACTATAGACACAACACGTTTCTCCTCTCATTTTTTTACACACACTTAGAAATCTTGCCTTTTTGCCTTTTAGATTGTTATATGCTCTATATTGAGCTCAATAAATTTTACTTATTTTGTAACTTTATTTGAAAATTTGTCTACAGGGTATTGCAGAATTAAAAAACAAAAACAAAAAACTGAATTCTTCTAGAATATGACCTTGGCCAGATTACTTAACATCTGTTTCCTTACTTGCAAAATGCAGGTTATAGTATCAACTTTGTGGTGCTCACCAGGTTGCTGTAAGAATCACAATTGTTTAGGAGATCTTGCAGTCAACTCTGAAGTTCTGTGCAAATGTAAAGCAACAGTATTATTAATAGCATCCTTCTCATTATTTGTACATTCCCAGAAGAGAATACACTGATAAATTACTATGTTTTTTCAGGGAGAGTAACACCAGGGCAGCTCACATCCTATATTCAGCTCTTCAAGAACAACCACAAAGCTCTGATGAATCATTGTGGTCTCCTACAGCTTGGGCTGGCCACAGTTCAAACTCTGAAACACCCACAGACTGCCAAATGGGACAACTTTCTGGCTTTTGAAAGACTCCTTCTCCAGGTATGTTGCTATGGGAGCTTCTTGGGATAGTAATGGTTAAAATTTTAACTTCCGTGGAAAAACGTGGGTATTTATTATAGTCTTAGTAGTAAGTCATATTGTTGACACGTGTTGAGTCATATTTTCTGAGTACCCCAAATTAAAACTCAAGCAGAAGGCTCTTTTCATAACTTTTTTTTTTTTTTTTTTAACAGTGACAGCTTTGGTTCCTCAATAAATACTAGGGATTTTTTTTTTTTTTTTTCCTGAGCATTTGACTAACCTTTGAAAACCCCTCTTCAATTTTATGCCTTTTGGGCCTTTTTTTGTTTTTATGGCATCTTTATTCTATCTTTGATTCTTTTCTTGGAGAGTAGTATAACTTTTTACACTTTTTCTGACACTACCTAGTCTCTAATCCTTAAAAATGATACGGCTTAAAATGATGCTTAGCAAAAGATGAAGGGACAGTACTCCATTTGTAGTTTCTATGAAGAGATTTGTATGTCGAGTAGGACCCTTTCATGACTGATGTGGGAAACTTCTAAAAAAAAAAAACCCTGTTTTTAAAGATTATAAAGTATTTTAGGCTTATACAAAATAATATGATAAACATCTATGTACTCTCAACAGAGACTCAATATAAATTAATAATTTTTTTCATATTTATTTTAGAACTTTTTCATTAAAGAAGTAAAGCTAGAGATACAGGTGAAGCATGTTTGGAACTATACCTTTTCCCAGTCTGATTCTCTTTTTTCCCTCCCCAGAGGTAATCACGAACTTGATTCCTTGTTTTTATAATTTTATTAAATATTTTTCATAGGTAATGCAGAATACTGTGCTGTGGGTTTTAAAATTCATGTAGCTGATATCATACTATAAATATCCCTAAGTAACTTGCTTTTTCTTTTCAACATTTTATTTTTAAGATAACCCAAGATGTTCTGTTTAGAATTAGTTCATTCATTTAAACCACACCACACTACTCGATTGTTTGACTATACAACAATTGATTTATCCAGTCCATATTGATGTGTATTTAGGCTGTTCCAGTTTTCTTGTGTGATTAAAAAGAATGCTATGGTGAATATCTTGGAACATATCTTTTGGTACACATGAGAAAAAGTTTCTCTAGGGCATATATGTACTTCTAGATTGTTAGCTATGTGCAATGCTGAGTTTACTAAATATCATCCAACTGATATTATTATTGTCAAACTTAAACATTCGTCCCTGGAATCAGCCCCTTCTCCAAAGAGCCCTGACTCCTATTATGGATAAAGTATTTAGACACCAAGAATCGGGTGCCAGGTGTGCTCATTGCTATTGGGTTGTCACTGATCCTAGGTTCTCTCAGTAGACAGCTAGGGAATATATGTATGCATGTGCATACATACATACATTTACGTATTTATTTCTACTTCTACATTTGTCTATTGCTCTTTTTATGAAAAATCATGAGTTGATACTGATGCTCTAATTCCAATTCATTACCACATGGTTCATTTTAGTTGTCTCCCTTTCGATATTTTTAACTTCCTTCTCTGACAGTGAGAAACCTGCTTCCTATTATCCTCAATATGTTTAATTATTTCATCAATCCCGTCACATATAAGTAATCTTCTATTACAGCTGCTACGCCCTCTCATGGATGCCCTCTGTCATGTATTGAATTGTGTCCCCCAAAAATATCTGTCAACTTGGCTGGGTCATGATTGCGGTATTGTATGATTGTGTACCATTTTGTAAATCTGATGTGATTTCCTTATGTGTTGTTAACTCTATCACTATGATGAGGTTATATTGATGAGGCTTACAAGATTAGTGTCTCTTCTGAGATATAAAAGAGAGAAGTGAGCAGAGACACATGGGAACCTCATACTACCAAGAAAGCAGTGCCGGGAGCAAAGCGCATCCTTTGGACCTGAGGTTCCTGCACAGAGAAGCTCCCAGACCAAGGGAAGACTGATGACAAGGACCCTCCTCCAGAGCCAACAGTGAAAGCCTTCCCCTGGAGCTGACACCCTGAATTTTGACTTGTAGCCTACTGGACTGTGAGAGAATAAACTTCTCTTTGTTAAAGCCATCCACTTGTGGTGATTCTGTTAAAGCAGCACTAGATGACTAAGATACCCTCCTTACCTCACTTGACTCTGTCTTCCTGCTGCAGACCATGGCCACCTCACATAGATGTTCTCTTTCATTTCACAAAAAGGAATCCCTGTTTAAACCCTCCCCCTACAAATGCCCTCCTTATCCTGCTTACACTCTGACACTCTGTACTGGGATGTTGCTGCTTCCCCACCCTCAGTTGGGTGCTTTTCTCACCCTTTTTGGGTCTGAAAACTCATTCAGGGCTGCTGCTATTCTCCCTTTACATAACAACCCCCCTCCCTCAGGTGCTGTCCTCACCCCACTTGTCTCCTGATTGCCCTGTGCACACCGTTCTTACGTTGCTCAGGCTCTGATACCCTGTTCTGGGCCCTTGCTGCCCCATATTCCATGTAGATACTCTCCATTCCCCTTGGGTTCTAACATTCCATCCTTGTTGTTGTTGTTAGGTGCCATCAAGTTGGTTCTAACTCATAATGACCCTGTGTACAAAAGAATGAAACACTGCCTGGTCCTGTGCCATCCTCACAATTGCTGTTATGTTTGAGCTCATTGTTGCAGCCACTATGTCAATCCATCTTGTCGAGGTTCTTCCTCTTTTTTGCTGACCCTCTACTTTGCCAAGCATCATGTCCTTCTCCAGGGACTGGTCCCTCCCGGTCTCTCCCATTCCCTATGTTCAGAAGCCCTCTTCACCCCACTTTAGTTCTGATACTCTGTGTTGTGTTACCATTACCTTCCCCCACGGACACTCTCTTTACCCCCTTGGTCTCTGACAACCTGTTCTAGACCACTGTTGCAAACTCCTTCCCTCTTCCCTATCCTACTAAGTGAACAACTTCCTCACCCTGCTACTGTCCACCACTGGATGTCCTCTAAGGTGTAGTTCTTGGTTCCAAATCTAACAAAAGGGTTTTGAAATGAGGCTATTCTGAGGTTTCCTCCCAAGGATGATAATCTTTCAAATTCACATAGAGATTTCTGAAGAAACTTGACATGTATTAATTACAAAACATCTTTTATTTATAATTTCTGGAATCCCTTGTTCTGCATTAGACTGCCTAAGATGTAATCATGGCACTCAGTGTGGTTCTTTCAGCTTGTGGAAAAGAAATAAATAGACTGGGAAAAACAAGTGAGCATTTAAAATACTAAAATCCTACTTTTATCATAATTGTACATCACCCTGGCTAGCACTGTGTTCTCAGTCATTTCTGCTCCTTACAAATTAAGTGTTTTAGCAGAGGCAAACTTATAAGCTGGCTGTCATAATTGCTCTTCATTTATGAACATGCTTATTTTACATAGTATACACTCATCCATTAGTATAACAAGTCATAATATATTGTCAGCTGTCCCTTTTGTGGACTTTGGTGTGAAAGCAGAGCGTTTGAGTCTATTTTGAGCATGAGGACAACTTCTAGCTTTTCCCGAAGGGCTTGAGAGCCATTGAGATGCAAATGTTAGCCAGCATTGAAAGTTGTTTATGTCTTTGGAGACTCTTTTCCATCACTTATTTCTATCAGGCCTCCATCACTGAAACCTCAATGTTGACTTTATGGCCCAAGTAACATTATGAACAACCTTGGTTAAGAAAAAGAAATTGGCCTTGGATAGCCACTGCAATTAAAAATAAGGTTCTTTATTTCTTCTACTTACTGCCTTCTCTTGGCTCAGTGGTTTTGGTGATCGTTTAATGACTAGTCAGCAGCACGTCTGAGTACTATTCATAAGAGCTATGTTTGACTCAGGCTCCTGAAAATGACAGATTTAAGAATTCAGACTAGAGAGGTAGTGTGTTATATCTTCTAAAGAGTAACCTTTTGAATATTTTTGGGAAAATCTAGTATTTATTATCAGTGAGCACATTTTAAAAAACTAAGGGAAATGAAGAGCCTTCACAACTTCATGCTCTCTCCCTGATCTCTAATGTCCGGTATCACAATCTATGTGTTTTATGCTTTCAGTATATGTGTATTAATTACCCAATAATTCTGTTTGTTTAAAATTTAGAAAAGAACAAGTTTAACCTTGAACACTGATACATTTATGGCTCTATTGATAGACCTGTTAACTTGTGAATGTAGCTTTGCTTTCTGTTAATCAAAGTATGGACTTACTTAATTTGGTGGTAGTGCATGAAGAATTCCTTTTTTATAGTGTAGTGAGAAAGTTTGATTTAGTTTCCTCACCTAAATAAGGATAAAGTATCTACCGATCTCATGGTGTTATTGTCGGTATTGAATGAGATTATACATGTACATCACTAAGTAAAATGTAGTGTAATATATATAGTATGTTGGTGGCACAAACAGTTAAGTGATCAACTACTCGCCAAAATGTTGGTGGTTCGAACCTATCCAGAGGCACTTTGGAAGACAGACCTGGCAATGTGCTTCTGAAAGGTTACAGCCGTGAAAACGCTATGGAGCAGTTTTACTTTGGACACCTGGGCTCATCATGAGTCAGAATCAGCTCAACAGCAACAGATGTTAGTTGTTGTTCATTGCTGTCAAATTGGCTCCGACTCATGGTGTCCTTATGTTTACCAGAAGCAAATGTTGCCCCGTCCTGTGCCTTCTTTATGATCGTTGATCTGTTTGAGTCTATTGTTGTGGCTATTGTGTCAATGCATCTCTTTGAGGGTTTCCCTTGTTTTTGCCGACCATGATGTTCTTTTCTAGCAGTTGGTTTTACTGATGACATATCCAAAGTAAGTGAGCTGAAGTCTCATCATCCTCGCTTCTAAGGAGTATTCAAAGTGGTATTTCTTCAAACACTGATTTGTTTGGTGTTCTGGTAGTCCATAGTATATTCAGTATTCTTTACCAACACCACAGTTTGAATGCATCTGCATATTAAGTATAGTATAGTGTAGTATAGTTAGTAAGTACCCAATAAATAGT